GGTGGTGGTGGTGGTGGTGCAGTCGTCGTCTTAGTAGTAGTCGTAGTTGTAGGTGTGCTGCTTGTGGTGGTGGTGGTGGTGGTGAAGGTGTCAGCAGGGTGGGGGGGGGGGGGGGGATGAAAGGAGAGAGGTTCCAACAGCAGATGGGGTCAGGGTCACGTAGCAGACCGACGCGAGGACCCTGTTTATGAGCAACTGAACAGACTGTCAAACCAAACTACTACAAGCACGCCCGACAGCCACTCAGCTAACAACTCAGGAGCATCACACGAACGACGAGCCCAAGCAAGCTGCAGCCAAGAACCAGCAACAAAACTAATGCAGGACACTTGCAAGCAAACATCCACATTCACGCAGAAACTAACGTCTCACAAACTACGGCCCAAGGAGAACCCCCCTTAAGAATAACAGAGGGAGATGGTCATCACGACCGTCATGATTGCGGAGGAAACTTACTTGTGCTATGGTTCTGGTACTCGAGTCAAGCAGTGCTATGGTCGGACTGCACCACGGCTGCTGTTGCCAGTGAGATTGCTTGATTATGACGATGTGGGGGGGTGGCACATGATTTGCCATGACCGTCCTCACTTTAATCTTGATTCTAGATGCTTGACGTTCCTGATGCTCGTGGTAACGTTGTAATCAGTGTCGCAGCTGCTCCTGGTAAGAAGCCCTGGCCTTGGGATCTGACTCTGCCTCCAAGAGTCGTGTTTTCAGCGAGATGACACAGCACCTGTGCAAGGCTTGGCTCTTCAAGATGTCCCGCGCGGAGTATCTGCAGATGCGTCCGGCTTCCATGCTTGGGTTAGGGTTGGAGTCAGGATGTCCAGTCAGCTGCAAGGATCCGCATGGCTTCCCGAGTATTCTGTTTCTTGTCCGGCGCGTCGTCGCATGATATAGTAGTAGAGCCATGCGCTCGCCCGCTTCTGCTTGCAGCTTGCAGCTTTATGGCTCACTTAAAAGGCACAGGGCAACTGTGATGTATCCTGTGCCAGTGCAAGCTTAGGCACTACACAGCACAGGCATGCAACAATCGCGAAGTGTAAACCCGATTACTTGGCTGCAGCGGGGTGTAGCCACTCGTACACATCCAGCCATGCCGCAAAGACAGAGATGCCATCGTCTGCAGCTCAGGGGTGCAGCACCCATGCCATGTGAAGGGCTGAAGACAGAGCGCCTTCTACAGGTCCCGTGCTGTAACCAGGGAGTGCCTGGCAATATCTCATATCGTCTCTGTCCGCAATCCCTCATATCGCAATTTTTGCTTCGAAGACCTTGCCATACCATACCTACTTGCATCCTGCGAAACTGCCGAATCGCTTTTCGGGCCCAATGCTGGTTTACCTTCCAACGCTGAGGCTGTGATGCTAAGTTGGGCTGGATAGGAGGCCGGGGCCTCAAAGATTGAATTTGATCGTTTAAGGTTCAGGGTTTCGAATGCCTGGGCGAGAGAGAGAGGGTTTAGGGTTCAGGGATGAAAGGGCGCTTGGGGGTCAAGCAATGAAGGCTCTGCTCCTTCTGGGATCAGGACGTCGGATCGAGTTTTCCATGCTTCGCGTGCGTGTTAAGGTCAAGGCCAACTGCTGAATCCTGAGGGTTGGGAAGTTCGGAACAAAAACCGCCGTAAACCCCCAAAGGGTTCTGATGTAGTTGGGGTTCCTTATTATGATTATCGTATGATATACCCCAAAACCCTATTCTAATTTTTAGGGCCCCTGTATTAAAGCGCCTTCAAGCTCCACCTAACAGGCTTGCGTGGCTTTGGATTTTATGCCCGCGCCCACGAGCGGCGCTGTGCCACCCGGCAGGCCAACCCAGTCCTCGCGGCAAAGCATTGAACAGCAATGCAGGTTTCAATGCCTCACAAGAATTTCCGTGGATGTATTCTGAATAGTGTTGTTGCAGACTGCCGAGCAAGTATGCCTCCTGGCTCGCTTCCTCATAGTTTGCACAGGATCGAGGTTACACCCCGAACACCCCCACCGCAAAGCCGTCACTCAGGCATTCTCGTTGTGGCTAAGTACTTCCGGCTTGGCTTTTCTAGGCGGTCCATTGACCGAGACATTGGTTGCCACACCGATATTCCAGAGCGTGACATGCAAGTATATTTTCTTCTTCATAGGCTTTTCAAAGGAAGCTGATCGCCTGTTGCCTTGGCCTTTTACGAGATGAGCACTGGGACTCCTAGACGATGTGTGCCGCAACCTGGACGTTTTGGCTTGAGACAGTTGCAGTCATGACTAGAAAACGGGAATTCATGTTTGATTGTGGGCAGTGTCGTTCGGGATCTGGCGCAAGCAATGTGATGAGTCATGGTCATCATTACTTTGGACCATGGCCAAGTGCTGCACCTAAACACAGGCACCATGCAGGCGTGATGAGGAGTGCATGCAAGACAGGGGACTGGCAGCCGGTCGTTCTTGCAATGTCATCGTCAGAGTCCAGTCTCCCAGAAGCCTGTTGGGCAGCTTTCGTCATGGCACTCCTTGAGCAGGAGCAAAACGCTTCTTGAATTGACGTTGTAACATTGCTGGGAAGTCGAGATGCTGCAAGGCCGATTCGCGCCACGTTTGTCCGACAGGACCGAACTCTTGAAGCCGATGAGGACGGTCGCGAACCCGGTAGCAGATGACAGCGTCCGTGCGGATTTTACCGCTCATCAGAGTCAGATCTACAGATTGAGTGTCAGGTAGGCCGGTGGCAGACGTCTATAGTTGCGCAGCTTGAAGTTTCAATCCGAAGCAGTGTCTACGTGCAGCGAGGGCCATACTTGGTAATCAGGACGCGGTTATTGGTCACCCAAGATTGACAAACGGACGGCATACCGAGGCGCAGTGGCTGCGGGTGCCCCGGAGGCTGAGGATGTGCTCGTGGAGGAGGCCGAGGAAACCGTCGGCACAGCCGTCGAGGACGCCGCATGGCTCACATTGCCCTTTGTGGAGAGTTCACCAATGCTCGAGAGCGCACTGAAGGAGCCAGCTCCTGATCCAGACACGGAAGCAAAAGAGAACAGCAGCCTGGCTGCGACTGCGCCGAGAGCAGTTGTCCCTTCTTAAGCTTGCAGCTAGTGTAAACTTCCAGGCTTTGCCCGGTATCTCTGGCCTCTGGCGAGAGAGATGCCTGACGGAAGCGCGGAATTTAGGCTTTGCAGAGAAGCCCAGCCCAGGGACGATCGCCACCAAGAGAGAGAAACAGAGAAGACGCCGCAGGACTGAAACGAGGCGCTGCCCTTCCCAACCACCCTCAGACTCCATGTGGGAGTTTCCGAAAATTAGGGGTACCTTATTTTGGGGTCCTTATAATAAGGATCCTACTATTTAGGGTACTATCTTTGGGTCCCCTATTTTCGGAAACTCCCATGTTTCCCTGCCAGTGACACCTGCCTTGCTATGCTAGGGCCTCTCCACTGAGACCGAATAGTAGGAAAACGATACCTACTCGTTTAGGGCTTACCGGAACCTAGACACTGTAGAAACGACAGATGGAGCCAGAGAGAAAGAATGCTTTGCTTGTTGTTGCTCTATGTTGTTTCGTTCGAATATGAAGGGGGGCAGCATCAGAAAGAGCAAGCCATTGTAAAGGGACCAAAGTTTTGTCCAAGAAATGAGCTTTGAGCATGGTTCGCAAGTCCGGGACACCCCTTTGTGGCGGATGCAGTGAGAGAATAGGGGATCTTAAGTTAAGCCTGCAGGGACAAGAGAGGGAAAGACAAAGAGACAGTGCAGATTGTGTGCGCTTCTGACCTTGTAAGCAAGAGCGGTGCGCGAAGACAAGCTTTGTGTATCTTTGTGTGGAATGGTTTTGATGAAGAGAGGGTGTTTCTCCTTGTGTGCCTGCGGGATCCTGACCGGGGAGAGGACGAGATAAAAACGAGACGCCCAGGTCCAATGGGCAAAGGTGCCGAGGAGCCTGGGCCTCTCTCTGGGATCTATCTGTGTAACCGAAGACACGAAGTATTTCGACACTCCTGGGCTGTAGAATCCTTTGCATGGACATTTTTATGAACGTACTGCCGGACACTTTCAAAGCATTTAGCTGCCGATGCGCTCCGAGTTTGGGGTTTTTTTCCAAAGATAGGGACCTGCGACTCTTCAGCCTCTGCTTCAAGTTGCAGTCGCCATGGCCTCCTTCCCGACTGCTTGTGCCAGTTTGCTCGGCCTCGCTTTGGTGCCATGGCTTGGCCTTGAGTGTCAGACCGTACCAGTGCCAGAAAGAAGTCAGGCCTTCATTCTTTGCTACGGCCTCCTCGGCGGCATGGCCCTGGGTCTTGTCACTCTGGCGGCCCAACACAAAAAGCTGGCACAGGAGGCATGACACAGACCCTTAGGCAGATGCCCGGAAATGGAAGATTTTCTCTGGCTTTTTCTGACGGAAGCACCTGCGACAGCGTCCGACAAATGGATGACTCAGAGCAACAATCACCGGCCTTGCCGCGACATCCACGCCTGTTGTGAGATTATCTCAAGAGAAGCCATGGCAGACGATGGCTCTTCGATGTTCCGGCAACTCGCATGGCAATCGTTGGCGAATCATGTGCGGGGCCGGCCGCCGTCGCTCTGTAATCCCAAAGTGAGGATCCCCATTTACTCGTAGGCAAAAGATGCTCGTCTTCCTCAAGCCCTTGAGTTGCCGACTCCCTTGCCTAGACTAGGGAGGTCTGGGGTTCGAGTATGCTAGGAGTCATTCCTCTCCGATTCGACGGTGCCGATGATGCACATGAATGTGCTTTGCCTGCACATTCTGGGACCTTCCTCTGTCAGAGTTCTGATCTTCAGGGATCCCTGACATTGAAGGAAGCCCTGGGCTTCCTTGGGCTGGGCTCATGTGGTCTCATCTGTGTTGGTGGTGGGGCTAGGGATTTTGACTGGACCTTCTCTTGGTGGGCCTGCATAGGTCAGTGGCTTGGAGCCGCTGAACCTGAACCCCACTTTGAGAATGTCGTACTGCGACGCCCAGCACTGCTACCAACAGGTCCAAGCCCGCAAACCAGAAGTCATACAAAAACACAGAAAAAATCACCGAACAGTCCCTGAACCTAAATGCCGAAACCGTAGAAGGGGACTTTTCCTGTGGTGCCACTTGGTCAGCTGGGTGGGTGGGGAAAGACCCCATGAAATGCGGCTTCCTCCTAAACCCGCAAGAGTCATATGGGTAGTTGCCAAAATCATGGTCCCTTTTTGGGTACCCTAAATGATAGGTGGCGTCTTATAACAGGGACCCAAAAAGGGACCCTAGTTTTGACAACCACCCTTTTTGACATTCTCCCAGCCGAGCCGAAGCAGGCGACCCCTGGAACTACCGATGCAGATCACTCCTTCCAGACCGAAGGATTGAGCCGAGCTGTCCCGGCCCCATGGGACGGGCCTGATTTCAGTAAGTATGAATTGAAAGTATTGAGATACTCGTAGCACAACAAATACACATTACAGATACACATGATCGTAAGAGATATTACTTTAAGATGACATCATATGGTAATCTATAAACTTGATACGGCCTTGGTAGTGTCGCCGCCGTCGTTGTCTTGGTTGTCGTCACTGCGATGAGAAGCAGGCTGTGTCGTTCTTGGTCCTTGGTGTCTCGTGGTGTGTCAACTGTACTGTTATTGCTATTACTACTACTACTACTGCTGCTGCTACTACTACTACTACTACTGCTACTACTACTACTACTACTACTACTAGGTTCTCAGGTGACACGAGGACTCTGTTTCTTTCCGTCTCGTCGCTCTGCCTTTGCCGTCTTCCACTCGTCCCCAGCCCACCCTTGGCAGCTCAGGTCATCCATGGCTCATTCTTGGAAGACGACTCCCTGATGCAGACTCCACCTTTGATACGGGATGGCAGGTTGCATACTCCAGGCCGTCTTCTTCTTTTGTGTTCTCTTGCGAAGGCGGCCAGGATTGTTGACTTTCGTCTCTGCGTAGGAGGCGGTCCTGCAAATGTATACTTAGGTTGTCCTTATGGCGTGCTTCTCAAGCATTATGAAAACCAGTCTCATTCTTCAGCTTCTTCCCATTGTCAGAACATTGTCATTGCCATTCCTACTACTAGTGCTAGCACCTGTACCATTTCTACGTGTTTCTACATACATCCATCCATATATATATATATATATATATATATATATATGGTATTATCACTGTTATCGACGGTAATAATTGCAATACACATCATTACTTCTAAGTTGTTATTGGCGGATTGCCAACTGTTCAGTCTTCAACTGATTTTCGCAATGATTATGATTTCCGCTGCTATCGTACTAAACTAGTATCATTATCACCACCCCAACGTCAATACAATTTGCTATCTTAGTATTCGCATAGTAATCAGTAAAGTTATTAGTCTATAAATGGGTGGTGACGATTCTTACCAATGTCATTATGCTTTATGACAGATGATGTTGACGATGAAGATGATTATTATCATTAGTCTTCTCGATTTGGCCGCCGCAGAGGCAGCGGCAGCACCTCCTTCACTTCCGTTCCAGCAGCCGATCTTGCCAGACAACATTTTGAGTGGGCACAGGAACTTGAGTCGGTGGAGCCTTGGCTGGAGAATATGGGCGGTTACAAAAGTTGGGATTTGCCTCGTCTGAGAAGTCTGGGACATTCTGGGAGCCTTCAGCACGAGGGCCTGATTATTTCGGATAGCCTCGAGGTTCCCCTGATCTTCGCGAACCTAGATTCTAAGTCTCGCAGACCAAGGACCAAAAGCAAGCTGATCTGATGATGACTCAATGGCGCCGTTGCTGCAGATAGCGATTAGAACTACTATGTCACATTCTTAGCAGGCAGCTGCAAAGTCTTGTCGCCACGGAATAACCAATGGTTATTGTGAATATTCTCCGTGTCGTGATGTGAGTCAGGGTTCGGCTTCCCGTGATCCTCGGTGCAGGAAGCTCATCCGGAGCCAGACCGGCATGCTGGCTCAACAGCTTGTGGAGCTGCGCAAGGACGCTGCCTGGAAGTTCCATGTCATGTCAAGGCGGAGAGGGGTTATGTGACATGCATTCGGAAAGATGAGAACAGCGGAAGACTCTACGTCAAAGCCCTGCAGGGTTTGTGATTCGCACATCTTGGTAGCTCCATATTGCGACTTGAACAGCTGGCTCAACCTGCATGCTCGGGTAACGCCAGCCTTAGCCAAGAGATGGCTTCCTTGATTTGGGCTTTCTGGCTGGGAGAGGCGATGGCAAGAGCTGCCACACCGCCTCAGCCGCCCAGATCTGTTCTCTTGTCAACACTTCACCCGATTAGTCGGACGGGATACGGAGGCCAGGCGCAGTTGCTCGTGGCGGAACTCCAGCGGCAAAGCTGGCATGTCCAGCTCCTGGCATGGAATCTGCGTCACCGTGGCGAACCTCCAGCAGAAGATCTCGAGACGCTTCTGCTCAGGCACAACATAGGCAGGTCGGATGCTTTGGAACAGGCAGGGGGAGATCCACGCGTGCTGTTGTCAGGCGTTCCAGTACTTACATCGCGCATTGCGCCACCAACAGGCCACGAGTCAGGGGAGGGATGGTTAGAAGTCCTTAGGGCTGTGGACTTGCTGGAGGCTGCAGAGAAAAACTGTAGCTCCTCAGCCTGCTCTTTCCGCAAGCCAGATGTAATCTTGCACTTGCACGACGCCTGGTGGCTTGGGCCCGCTCCTGTCCGAGTGAAAGATGCCGCCGTCAGCGGACATTTGCCACCTTTGCTGGCCTGGCTGCCGATCCTCTTCGACCCCCTCCTGAGCGATGACCCCGAGCGTCCAGACAGGTCCGGGCAGGCGCTCGAAGTCTTCCGAGGCGTCATCGCCATGTCCGTGTGGGGTCGGGGCGTCTACGAGAGAGCCTTGGCATCGCAGGACACGACGAATACGACGACTCCGCGTCGTCTGGAGCTACCACCTTTGTTGGGAACGGTCCCACATGCCTTGGAGCCCTCCTTCTCTGAAGGGCCTCTGGCCTTTGAGAGCGAGGCTCGGCAGCGGCTGAGGAGGGCCTTTGGCTTGCCGGAGAAGGCCTTCGTCGTGCTGCTGGTGGGTCGCAATCCTCCGAGTGGTGAGGCCAATCGGAAGTCTCACAAGGCCGGAATCCGGGCCTTCGCCAAGATGCGTTCGCGCATTTCCGAGCTCTGCAGCGAGCCTCAGGGGCCCGCCGGGTCTTCCGCTGCCGTGCAAGAGGCGTGCGCCCGGACGCCCAAAGCCCACTTGCACGTTCACTGTGACCTGGACGGCTCTGTGGACATCCGAGCACTGCTTGCAGAAGTCGGCTTGGGCCTCACGATCGACGGGGGGGCCAGCAACAGTCGCGAGCGCTTGTCACCAGAGCAGCTTCGAAGTTTGTACAGTGCCAGCGACGTCCTTCTGCAACTGAGTCGTGCGGAAGGCTTTGGCCTTCCGGTGATCGAGGCCCAGGCCAGTGGTGTTCCAGTGATTGTGAACGGTGCCACAGCCATGGCCGAGAATGTTGTCTTGGGAAAGGTCCTACTTCCCACACCCCGGCAAACCCCGAGTGGAGGCCGCGATGACAAACCGGGATCGTGGACGCCCCCTGACAGCGTTGCGGCAGCTGAAGCGCTTCTTGCATTCTGGGTGTCACCTCCGTCCCCCACGGAGCGCAATGCTGCACGCATGATATTGCACAGCACTTTCTCGCAGGCCTCAGTTGGCCAGCATGTCAGCCAGCTGTTGCAGACTGTTCTGTGGCCACGACGCACTTCAGCGACGACCACCTACTGGGAGGCTGGACCAGCAGAACCTGCTGTGCCGGCTGCAGATTCACATCGCACAGCCTTCTGCATTGAGGAGTTTCGGCGGGCTGAGGAATGCTGGCGAACACTGCATTCCGAATGCTCTGGACTCGATGAGGATCTCCGCATCTGCTTCAAGAGCGACTGGAAAGAGCCAAGACTTGCAAAGGACAAACCGGCCATGCTCCGGAATCGACTCATCAGCACACGACAAGGCCGGCGCTAAATGTAACGGTGTTGTAGCTGTAATGTAACGGTGCTGGTGATGTGGCACAACTGATCTGCTTGCGCAGCGAGTTGAGCCAAATAGGAAGAGCGAATTTACAATACCAGCACAGAGTCACATCGTATTTACTGTGCGGCTGCTACGACGGTCTAGTTATACAGTTATACCAAGACAGAGGCTGCATGTGCAACTCCTGCAATAGTCTGGCTTTGGATAGTGCTGTCAGCTTGAGAATTTGCTGTCTACATGGGAAATACGTGCGGCTTACACAAGTGTCAAGGCTGGCCAATGCTGTACAATGTCTATGACATCATGGTTGGGCGAACACTTGAGGTCTGCGGCAGCTGGCTAGGCCAAGAGGCCTTGCTTCACAGCATTCTCCTGAACGGGTCCGGCGGGCCCGGGTCAGGTCGGATTTTGGAGGCCGGAGCCCACATCGGCGCGATGACGGTGACCCTGGCACGGCAGGTCGAAGTCCAAGGGCGTCTGCTTGCCCTGGAGCCGTCGAGGCTGAACCTGCAGCTGCTCACCGCCAACCTTGCCCTTGCTCAGGTCTCCAACGTCGACACCCACCAGGCAGCCCTCGGAGCAGTTTCCAAGGGCTCGGTGATGGTGGAGGAGCCCGATATCATGCCCTTTGCCGATTTCCGTCGTCTCGGCCCCGGAAAGAAGAACAGGAAGGTGCCGGTGGTGAGTGTTGATCAGCTGCTGGGAGCCGTGGATCGTTTGGACCTTTTGAGACTTGGCTTGGCGTGCACTGCTGGGCAAGGGCTTTCCATCGCCATCGCTGGTGCTGTCAGATCGTTGGAGCGATTCCAGCCTTGGGTTTTGGCTGAGATGCCTTTGCGAGACTCGGGAAACAAGCTCGATTTGAAAATGGAAGTGAGTGGTGATGATGAGGCCGCCTTTCTCAGCAGCATGGACAGTTCCGCCTACGACTGCGTCCGTTGCGACATGCCCTTGGGCACGACAGAGGCAGAGCCTCCAGAGAGCTGGGCCAGCTGCACGTCGGATCCCCGAGCTCAACTCAAAGCGAAGATGATGCTCTGTGGCCATCGCTCCCGCACGTCCGGCGCGCACGCCGGCGAGGTCCCGGACGCCTCGGTGTGGTTGCGGGCTGTGGCGATCTGCGAAAGCTTTTCAGCTTCCGAGGTGAGAAAGAGAGGGTTTCTTGCTGCTTTCTCTTAATCGTTCGGTTGCCTGCTTGAAGCTGGATTCGACCCTTGACCCAGACTTTGACAAGCAACACCTGAGAGCCCGCCCGGACCCCCCAAGCGCAACCTTCTCCCTTCCCGGTTGACTCACAGGCTCACACTTTCCAGAAAGATGTGGATGGTTGTCAAAATTGTGGTCCTTTTTTGGGTACCCGAAATATTTAGTGCCGTACTAAAATATGGACCCAAAAAGGGACCAACCACCCACGTTGGAGAAGAAAGCTTCTCCCGTGCCAGGAGCTGGACTTCGTGAAGCACGAGCTCCTTGGCTTCGATGCTTTTAATCTTACCTTTGGTTAGTAGGGGCTGGAGGAATGGGTTGCAATTATAAGTTATAATTTCTAGCTACTATTATAGTAGTTAAATAGTAGTTATAATTTATAACTACTATTATTACCATTCTTCCATTCCCTACTAACCAAAGGTAAGTAATTCGGCAGAGCATCCTGTTTCGTGGAGTGTGCTGTCACGGATCGCTCGGCCCTGGCCTGGGCATCGAACGGAACCACTCCTGTGAGCCTACGAAGGCAGCGTCAGACCTCACAGCTGATGGAGCAGCAATGCCGAGAGAGCAAGGACGTCCAGCAACGTTTGGGCGCTACCTTGCAACAGAGCCTCCTGGCAGTCGGATCAGACCATGTTTCGGAGTGCGACAGGTTCAGCGACGTCTCAACCAGCGCGTAAATTCCAAGCCGATGCTTGTGATGGAAAGATATGGACAGCTGGTGAGCGAAGCTGTTGTGTTATCCCGGGCCAAGTTGTTGTTCTATCCGGTCGTAGGTTCCGGGTTTGGGATGATCGTTTTCAGAATTCTCACAAAACCTCGGCGATCCTGCCTCGCCTGGGAGCTCAAGAAAAATCCCAAAGCCAGCCCAAGGCTACGCAAAAAGCCGACTCATCTCTCAGCCCTGAACCCAAGGCGTGCAGGAGACCCACATGAGCCTGGCCAGGATGCGGACCGAGGCTGTCGGAGCATCGATCCTTATGGTAGCCTGGGTTCAAAAGGAAAGGTGCGGGTACAACAGTACTTGTACTATGATACCCAAGGCATATTGTTTGCTCTAGATTCTAGATCCCTGTCGTGTAGTGAGAACCCGGTTTCGTCTGGGTCGCGGAGCAACTTGTCTTTGATATAGTTGGTGCGGCAAGCGGTTCCTGTCAGGTGCAGAAGAGACCTTCGAAGGAGTCTTTGCGCAACCAGTGCGCATCATGTTGTGGCATGCGAACCTGGAATACTGATACTGATATACTGGCAGCAAGTCCTTTCATCTCGGTCCTGGTTTTTCTGATGCCAACCTGCTGTCCAAGGCATTCACTCGAGAAGGCACTTACCGGCTGTTGAAACCTCAAAGCCAGGCTTGTCCCAGTTGTGAGTGCTGAAACCCGAAGAGTCAAGGCTTTTAGACTGGAAAGCTACAAAAACCCCAGGACTCGGAACAAGTAGCAAGAATGTCCCCTTATCATCTTCATTCGGCTCACGTTCCCCAACACAAGACAGCAGAGTGTCCCCTTATTATCCCGCATGTAATCAGAACATACTGACTAATACTACCCCTCATACTCCCCAATCTAATGGTAGCATAAGTTCCCTGCGGTGCGACATTGTTCACCTGGGAGGGTGGCAAGAAACTCTAGACCCGGTTCTAATTATTAACGCCCCTAAGTCTGATAGAACTCAGTATAAGATGACCCAAAACCCGTCTTCTGCTGTAGGAGTCCGATGCTCAAAAGCGCCTCCAAAGCCTGGAAACGTGGGCAGCCCCGGCCGTCCGGAAGCTGGAATGCGAGGCTCGGTCGTGGAAGGGGTGTGTTGTGAACTGTTGTGATATAATGCAGTATAATATGGTCTAGAAAAGTATAATGTAATATTCTACGATATAACTTGGACAATATAGCATGATATGTATATGGTACGAGATGGTTTTTTTACGGCATGACATTATATGCGGTCTTTTTGGTGTAGGGTTTAGGTGTGGTATAACGGTGTAATTATAAAGGGTTGATGACGGGACATGGATTTTACTCAGGTCGCAGGTCCGAAGTTGTAGAGCTGTCTGCAAACACGCAGGTTGAATCCCAGGAGTACGCCTTAAGTTCTTGGTCTCATGCGAGGTCGCGGGGGAGTCGCGGTGTAGGCTCGATTCTTCGGCTGAATTTAGAGTGTGGCCACAGTGAAGTCCCCATGCAGGTGGCGGAGCTACGAAGTGCGACGGAAACCTGGCCGCAGCAAGACGGAAAGCTGGCAACCCACTAACCGCAAATGCCTTATGCTTTGCATGAATGGGTCCTGGACAGGACGTGAGCGTCAAGCAGGTCTGCCAGCTCAAAGACCAGTTGCTGCGTCTTCGGTGGGCATTGGTGCCAGCAGACAGCTTACGAAACTGCAATGCTAGCATGTCCGATGTTGACCAATGCTTTTACTTAGGCTTCCAAGTTTAGTAGCAATTCTTGCTAGGCATCACTACGCTTGTCTGGGGCAAGGGTGGGCAAGGTGTAGTAGAAACCGGGCAGCCCAGGCAACAAATCGATGAGTGGAAAGCCGGTCATGCCGTGGTGATGGAGCACAGCACCTCTCGCAAGTTAGCAGGGCTTGAGCTTTTCGTGGTTCGGAGCTTCTGTGGTTTCTCCGATCTTTGAATGTGAAAGAGGCCGTTCCGGAGTTAATTACGGGCAGGGAATGTGAACGAGGCCGTCTTGTTCCGCGTAGATATGCAATGGTGGTCCCTCTCCAGGCACCAAGTGGCAAGACCGTGTACGCAAAGGACCTGCAAGCGTCGGCTGCGTGATGAGACAGCAAAGGCAAGACAATCAGCAATATTAATATTATCGTAAAGTTCAGGGAACAAGACTCGATTGGTTGTGGCACTTGTGGCCTTCTCCATATTTTGCACTTTATGAACTCAGTACAACGGTTGCCCATGTAGGTGCAATCACACGCAAGCATGCAAGAACGTGCAAGCAGGCAGCTGCACGCAAAGACTCGCAGCTTCACAACTCGATAAACATGTGAGCCTGTGCGTGACTACAGACTACAGATATACCCGCCTGATGAGGCGGTTCCATGCATGCATGCATCACTGCATGATGTAATGCACTGCACAGACATAGAAAAGCAGAGAGGGAAAGACACAGACAGCACAGACGCAAGTGAGCTGTCTCTCTACATCCAGTCTACCTGCTCCTGCCGGAAGTGCCGGGTGCGTGTGACACGGGCTGGAAACGTCCATCGGTCTTTTGAAAGCAGACGGTCTTCCTTTGAATGATTTGGGTGGGACAGCAGCAAAGCCCGAAGCTGAGCTTCGGGAGTTGAATATGTAGTAGCACTAGTAGCATTCATTCAGGACTTCGTGCGCTCATGAACGCTCACGAGAAGCATGGCGGCAAGTGCAGGTTGTGGCATTGCGGCATCCTTTCGAAGTCTGAAGCCAAAACGTGCCGAACACCAATGGCTCAAGCCTCAATCCGCAATTCAAAGTATTGCGAAGTTCACCCCCTGATCTCACTCGCTCCAGGCCTAGCAGTCAGCATGACGTGTGAAGTCATGGCGGTCGCAGAGCCCACTCAGCGCTTCGCATGCAGCCAGCCTGTCGCTCAGGCACTCGGACAGCCGTATGTGACAATGCTGGTGCCCGTCATTGTGAATGCATCCGGGCCTCTCATGCAACCACAGGCAGGCCCCATGGCCGTTCACAATCAGGACTACCCCGTCCCCTGGACGACTCCACCTCCAAGCTCCCCTCAGATGGGGCCCATGGCGAATTTCAATGGCTATGGCTATACTCCATACACCGACGTCGTTGGTGGATGTGAGCTTGCTCCGAGCATGGAGGATGAGGAGGGACGCAGTCAAGTTCGTCGACGCAGGCGCATGCAGTACGCACGGCCAGCTGCACAGCCAAAGGTACCTGGCATGATTCCAAAATCATCCACTGCGGATGGAGAAGATGGTGCCGTGCTCTCCAAAGAGCGCTGCGATGCTCTTCGGCAGCAGTTGCAGTCCAATGATGGGCTGTCCTTGGCCATGTCCCAGATCTCTGGGTTGGTTTGGCCATGGTCTCGTGATGCAAACGGATGCCGCGTGGTGCAAGTGGCAATGGAGAAGGCCAGCAATTGCGCCGCGAAGGACTTGGCCGCCGAGCTTCATGGACACGTGCGGGAGGCTGCCGTCTCCCCTCATGCCAACTATGTGATCCAGAAGGTCATCACGCAACTGAGTCCCGCAACTTCCGCCTTCATTGCGCAAGAGCTCATGGGCAATGCAGCTCGATTCGTCCGGCATCGTTTCGGTTGCCGAATCATCTGCCGTCTCTTGGAGCACTGCTCCTCTCAGGAAGGGACATTCCGCCTGATCGAAGAAGTCTTGCAAGATCCCTCAGAGGCATTGGACCTTTGCCGTCACAACTTCGGACACCATGTGGTCCAGTCTATCTTGGAGCATGGGGATGTGAAGTACAAGGCGCAAATCGCAGAAGTTCTCCTTCACGACCTGCTGGCAAACGCTTCTCACCGCAGTGCCAGCCATGTCGTGGAGTCGGCACTCTCACACTGTTCCGAGACGGATCAACTGGCGTTGCTGCAGCGTCTATCGCATCCCAGCATGGTCGCGGAGCTTGCGCAAGTCCGCTACGGCTTCTATGTTGCAAGGACCGTGATTCAGCGCCCTGAAGTTGATGTCGAGAGGCTGGCACAAAGCATTCCGGAAGCGATTGCGCTGCTTTCATGCAGCGAGCCAGCTTCAAATTCTAGCTCTGCTGAGCAAGATTGATGTGCGGCGGACTTTGGACGAAGCCTTGGCTGATCCATTCGCTGCTGGGGACCGGGCAGGTGAGAGCTAGTGTGTGTGATGCATGCACAAGGGGTGCGCACACAAGAACCAATCCCGTTGTGGTGACGATACTTCTCGTTGAGGTGTGTCTGCTTACGAGGCGTTTTGCCCTGCAGCTCACCCGACGCTAATCCTTTTCGGTTCACAGTGATGAGTCTTCGTGTACAGTTTGGAAGACACCTGGCCGGACCGGTCTTACTTGGAGACTGTCAGCCTGCATCACGCTGACCTTCTGATGTCATGACTGTCCTACCGTTTTGAGCTATCGAACTTGTAAAGTCAAGTCAGCGACCGGCGAAGGAGCCTACATGAACATGGCTGCCTGTTCCGCTGGTCTGACAGAAACCAGCTCTACTACCTTCAGGGCGGAAAGAGGTCTGCTGCCGTGCTTCCTCATGAACTCGATGCCCCAGAACATTACAAACACCCCGCATGACTCTAGTACGTATGCACAATAGTAAATTGCATCACGCGCTGTTTCGTTATGTGTGTATATACATGTATAATACGCACACACACACACATACACACACACATATATATATATATATATACATGTCTTTGTCTCTCTCTCTCTCTCTCTATATATATATATACACATAGATATATGCGCATGTCCGTCTGAGTCTGCTTTTCTGCCTATGTATCTCCATGACATACACTCGCAGAGTTCGCATACTATACCAACCACCCAAGTGCTCTAAAGAAGAGCCAAGGAGCCATCGGAGCGAAGTACAGGAGATCCAGCAGTCCCTGCAGGACGGAAAGCCCGGCTTCGGGGGCTTTCTGGCGGGCTGTTGGGGTTTAGGGTTTAGGGTATTACTACAATTTTCACAAGTCCTGATGCAAAAAAAATGTGTTACTACATGGCTAGACTTGAGTCCAGTGGCAACAAGGGTGTCACTATAAAGTACTATAAATAAAGGAACCCGTAAAGGAACTCTTGCAGAAACCTTAAGGGTTCGGGGCAGGAAAGGGTTTGGGGTTGGGTTCCAGAAGGCGTTGAGTGATAGAGCGTGGTTGCTTTAGGAACTTTACTTATGGGGTTTCGGGCGCAGGCTTGGGTCGTAAGTCTTGAGGCTTTGGGGCTGTTGGGGTTCACGGTTTCAGGAAGCAGGCCCTCAGTTTCCTTTCTTCAGGATACCCTGCAGTCGCAATAGGCCTGGATGCAGAAAGGAAGCAGGCCTTTGCCAATCGCGCGAAGTGCCCTTGAACAAAGCCACAGGGTGGTAGCGGCGGGAGAGAGCTTAGAGAGTGAGAGGCTTTTGCAGGGTTTGGGATTAATGAGTAGTTTGTTCATACATACTTGTGACTCGTTAACATGTTCACGGACAGTTTCACGGACAGTGTTCTGCATTATGGTCCAAAGCCTTCTGGAGCTTCAATGTTGGGCGACTCTCAGTGCGTTAGTTTGGTCGCAGGAGTCCTTCGAACAGAAACTTCACACCAAGTTCGCTGAGGCCGGAGGTTTTGGGCTAAGAAAAGTCTATCAAAGCCAGGCCTCTCCGTGCTTGTCCTGTAGCTTGCACTTCTAGGCGAGGCATTCGAGGCGGGATGATCAGGCTTCGTGGTTGAGGCCGGCTGAGGATTTGTGATATATCTCTGGTGCACGCAGCTCAAGCTGAAATAGAACCCACAGTCTCCCGATGATGTCAGCAGGTGCAGCGTCGCATGGATGAGTGCAGCACACAAAAGGACTCTGATTGCGCCACCATGCCCCCACCAACCAGTCAAGAGCCGCTGACACGGAACACAGTTTGCTCCGGCAACTTGTTTGCTGGAGACTGGCGGAAGTACTGGCACTCAAATCGTACATTTCAGAACACGTCTTCTCATGGCGGGAGTTTTGTGGCAGATTTTGGCAGGACAGCCATCAGGACATTGAGAATCGACTCAACGACTTTGAGGCGATGCTGGACACGACGCTTGAGGGCCACTCTAAAGGCGCAGTGGCTCGGATGTGTTCCAGGGATCTGTTTGCGGGAACCATGGGTTTAAAACTTAAAATGGAAGTTTCCGAAAATTGGGGCTACCCTATCTGGGGGTCCTTATAACAAGGATCCTACTATTTAGGGTGCTATATTAGGGTCCCCCATTTTCGGAAACTCCCAAATGGAGGTGAGAGATGCAATGACCAAGGGGGGAACCCTTCCAAAAGACGACAATGGGATCATGGGCAGTCTTCAGGCAAGGGCGGAAGCATGTTGATAGTCTATCGATAGTTGTTTTTCACGTACGTGTGCAAGAGACTTATTAACATGTCCAGGGCCCCTAATTCCGGGCACAGATTGAGTCACCGAACCGTGAGGAACCCCAGGATCGCTTCAACACAAACGCCCCTGAAAGGCATGGAGCGCAAGCTGTCGGACGTGGAGTCCAGGTTTCAGGTGCGCGGGCAGAGAAGGTAACAGTGGGTTGCATCACCGATCGTAACCTAGTAGAAAGCATGTAGCACAGACTGTCTGGTAGCAATAGCGGGGACCTTTTCCCAGATATCGTGGTACCAGGCCGCCGTTGAATGTAGAGGATGGTCTTACATTATGACGGGCGTCTCCGAACAGCATAATGGGCTCCGGAATTGCATGATGCAAGGCAATGTTGTGCAAGGCACATTGGTGTGGCCTTTTGCAACGTACGTGGCATGTAGCTGATACATGTAGCTGCATGTGGGATAGTGAGGCGGACATCTAGGGCCACCGGTATGTGACACTGCTTCTGTCTATTCTCTGCTCCAGGATCTTGAAAACAGCGACAAGCTCCTCAAGGTCAGTTTGAACCAGGACATGACGGCGCCTGGCTCTTCTAATCAAGCTGCTCAAGAAGCGACGCTGCTTGCCGCCTATTTGGCCAAAGTCCTGCTCGAGTTCACGTGCAGAATGCTGAAAGTGCTGAGTGCAGGAGATCGCAGCACGGCATTCCATGGTGGAGGCCGGCAAGCGGTAGGCAGAATTCGTAGTGTTTTCAACGGGGTTTCAGCCCTTGGTCAGGTTCTGGACCAGATGCTGAAAACGGAGACCTCCAGAATCGCGACTTCAGTAGGTGGCCCAGGTCAGGGTGTGCCCGCTGGTCGACATCACATGAAACAAGCATGGCCCAGGAGTGCAGAGCATCTGACATGCCCGGGATGTGAGAGTTCGACATGCCCCACGCAGTAGACATCCTCGACAATCCTATGCTGCAGAAGCCTCGAGGGACGTCGTTCTCCAAGGTCAGCGAGCAGGTGGCGGTGAGCCATCTGGACTGGAAGGAGAGCCAGAAAGCGATGCTGGAGCACTTGAGCAAGGAGCTGATGACATGCTGAGCCCTATAAACGGTCTATCCTGTCGGGCACACGCATTGGAATCCCGTTTATTCCTCCATCACGCCATACCCAAGTTTACTGGTATTTCGCAGCCTGTCGAAGCCAGGAGACCACTGACAGGCAAGAGCAAGCCAGAGCCATCAATGCAGACTTGCAGAGCTTGGCAGGCGGTGTGGGCCTTAGATGTCGATCTGCAGTGACCTGTTCCGGGTGGGTTCTTCAACGGTGCACGATAGTCGGAGAATCAAGCGTTCTGAGTGCTGTCCTTGTATCCAGGCGTTTGTAAATTACAGCAGCGTAGACATGATGCTTCGTGCCCACTCACGCTGACATGAGCTGCTAGGTCTGGGTGAGCGTGTCAGCCGTCTTGAGGGCGGCTGGCACAGTGTCCGCCAGGCAGTGCTTTTAGGATGCAGGGCATGCAGTGGTTTTGACATCTTTGCTGCTTGAGATTTTGTAACCCAAGCTGTCCATGCTTATGCTTCTGAGGGGTCATGAGAGGCGGCTGGTGTACAGTACAGGGCGTTTCGGAGTGGCGAAGGATTTCTGATCGAGCACCCCTTGTCTGAACTTAATATTGCTTGGTTTGACGTAAAGTGCATGGACCAGTTCCGACTTTTCAGGACTGGCGTGAGGCAAAAGGCAATGTCCGAGCCCTGCAGGGGCAATTGCAGGACAACCGGTCTCATTGTCCTCCACATGTATGCACAGCTGCGCACGTTGCGCTTTGTGCCTTCTGCCGGTTGGGGTTTAAAGCCGGACAGGGCGTTGATTCCCTGTCGCGGCAACTGTGCAGGTAGTACGAATCCGAGCCTCCAAACTATTACACTCGAGGGACCTGCAGGTGCACTTTGACTGGTGTGGGTGGGTCTGTGGTCGTAGCATCGTACGGTAATACATTTTGTGGACTTGTGCGGAGGGCTTAAATGTTCTTGCAGTGTTCTTGTAACAAGCTGTCACACTTCGCCTGTATCCGTGCCTGCCTTACGACTAGATGATAGCAACAACATCAAACAACCAAAGATCCAGCTCTACATCTACCTGCGCCCACTCAACTCTTCGCACTCACCGTCGTGGTAGCCCCAGGCGGGAGGCAAGAATCCCTTCCCGTGCATGTGAGATTGCTGGTACTTGTGTACATCTGTAGCTTGCAGTGCATGTTGTTTAAGTCGACCTGCATGAGTGGCCTGGCAGCTGCCTCCCAGCCCTGGATGAGATGGGTGCAGGGTTTTCTCTGATGGGTACGTGCATGGCTTAAGCTTAGGTCTTACATGATTCAGCGCTTGGTTCCTGTTTCGAATTGTGCCCATCTTGTGTCTTTTTCTGCTGGAATCCACGCCTGCTTCGTGCGAGTCGAAGCCCCTAGAGAGGTCACCAGTAAGGGATGTGCTGTTTCTCTGTCCGAAGCTCTCAGTAGACCGGTGTCACTCTGTTAGCAGACCTCGAACCATACGCCTCGCCTGGATTGTCCGAGTGTGAGCGCCGAAAGCCTAAAGAAGGAGCTCGAAGCCAGCCTGGACGCTGGCCTCCAGGCGACCCGGCCTGCTTCTTTCGGCTGGGGGGCTTCCGATAAGTTTCGTAAGGGTCCGCTAGTAGAAACCTTATGCAACCCGCATGAATCCCGTATGCGGAGTCCTATATGGGTTTCATAAGAGGGATTCTACAAGGGTTCCATACAGGTCCTATGAAGGCTTCAGAAGAGTTGAGGGGGCCTCTCATGACAGGGTTCCGTGTTCTGCCAACAAAGATGCCGAGGAGCCTCGACGATTAAGGGCGGCATATTGGAGTCTCAGAGTAAGTTATTGGCCTCATTATCAGTGCGTCGCAGTCTATGATAGTCTGTTTTGCTTTTACGAGTCAATATCGTATAGTAGGGTATTGTATAGTGTGAAATCATGTACAGGTCTCGCAGTCAGACTAGTAGCGAGAATGACTATGGCATGCTTCAATCGTCAGGAGGTTTCTCAGAATTCGTTAGGTAACTCAGTGAGTCAGTACGACCACCTCGACCTCTTCACGTTGCATCGTTGGGCGATCCCAAACCGCTAACCCACGGCTGGCCCAGGGCCTTCGCTCCGAGTTGCAGAGTTGCTTGCGCGAGGACGTCCGGAATAAATCCGGCACAGTCCCGGGAACAAGCTGTTACTTGCGTCAGAGACTTGGTGTTGCCGGGAAGTCGGGCTGGATGCTCGGGGATGGGCAAACCACAACAACAACAACAACTACTTCTACGACTGCACTGCGACTAGTTCGACTGCGACTACTACAACAATAGTACGACAACGACGACCACCACCACCACCATCACCGACCCCCCACCGCCACTGCCACCACCACCCTGTACTACTTCTGCTTCCGTTTCTACTACTGCTATGATTCTCTGTCTCTCTCTCTCTCTCTCGAAAATTTGTGTGTGTGTGTGTGTGCGTGCGTGCGTGCGTGTGTGTGTGTGTGTGTGTGTGTGTGTTTCGTTGTGAACTACAAGACAATGTGTTTAGTTTAGATCATGAGGAAGTATTGTTGTAACTCTTCCGCAGGGTTTAGAGGCCCCCTGCTTTCTGCAGTCGCACCCCCTTTTGGGGGGCCCGGAGGAGCGCCTGAAAAGGGAAGTGAACGGCACCGGCATGGCAGAGCAGATCCAGGCTTGGGAGGCCGGGTCTGAAAAAGCTCAGATATTGGAGTTTTTCCGAAAATTACTAAGGGGTATCTCATTTTGGGGTCCTCATAATGAGGATCCTACTTGTTGGGGTACTATATTATGAGGGCCCCCTATTTTGGGAAACTCCCAGACGGAGTCTGCGAGTACGGGTTTTGCTGCGCTGGACCATTGCCTCTTGTACACTCGGCAGGACTTTCACAAGCACTTGCGCCAGTTCTACATGTCCCACACGACTCTGCCGGCCGGCGATACCCGACTCTTGGATTCATTCAATGCCTTCTTCCCGCTTGTTTCACAGGTGTTGGGCATGCGTCGTGTTTCTGTTGGGCACGCATAGTTTCTGGGCATGGGAGCCTCTTGCTTTCCAGGACACAGCGAGCCTGACATGACCATGGAGCGCCTTGCAGAGCTTCTTCGATGCTCGCAAGAATCGGAGACGAGCCATGCCGATGTGCCCGAGATCCTGCGATCTTCTCGCCTCTCTGATCTGTGAAGTGTTGCTGCGCTACATCGATGCGCCGAGTGTACAGCTTGGAGGTCATGCTGGGCGCGCTTCCTACCTCCTACCGTGGCAGTACAGTAGTATAATCAAGCAGAAACTCCACAATCGTGGTTTGCATCATCTTAAGCCACAGTCCAGCATGTGCTCACGGGGGTCGATGTCCGCTTTGGCGAGTGGACATGCGATTCAAATTCAGTGGTACTGGGCCTGCAGCTTATGTGTGGTTCTCCAAGTTATGGGGTTCTCCCTTCTTGGATCGCTCAAAATGACAGTCTAGGGTAAGTTTACGGACCCAAAGGGACCCCAACAGAGAACCTCGAACATTGCTGCAGCGCAATCCCTGTGACGGGGAGGGGTCCTCGTAGATGGTCTTTGCTCGAAGCTTCATACGCAGTCACGCAGTGGGGTTCTCTGCCGGATAGTTGGCTTTCGGTGAGTTTATCACCTATATTGAAGGATTTTTTGGCAAGATTGGTGAGTGTGTATTCGGAGGTGTTGCCTGGAGGTGCGATTAAAGCTCGAACGCCCTACTTCATATGTTGCTTGCGCTCTATACCTGGAGCCTTTCGGGATGATAGCAGCTTCGCGCTGGGATGCCGCTGAACCAAAACGGCAGGTTGGTTGGACTGTGAACTCGAAGCCCTTGTTGGGGCGCATGTGTACGTGGAGCCTTCATGCAGGTCTGAGTGTGTGACGAACTTCTAGCATATATCTGCACTGAATTAGCAGGCTTGCACATGCAGTTTTTTTGTCTGTGCAGCCTCACCTGGTTTGCCTCCTAATCAGCTCATGCTCCAATCACAAACTTTAACGTACTACCACTGCCACTACCACGACCACCACCACCACGACGACGACTAACTACTGCTACTGCTGACGAACTACTACTACTACTGCTACTACTACTACTACTACTACTACTACTACTACTACTACTACTACTACTACTACTACTACTACTACTACTGCCACTACTGTACTCGTACCATTTTGTCCAACCTTGCGAAGCGAACGAAAAGCGCCTCGGCACAGGCAGAGAGTCCGCGATCGGCCGAACAGGCACAGGGGGAGGGGTGGGGGCTAATGAAAGGGGTCTTATTAAGGGGTCTATAAGGGTTACTATAAGGGATCTATAAGGGTACTATGATATAGGGGGCTCAGAAACTTACCTTTTGTTAGTGGGGAATGGAAGAAGGGTGGTAATAGTAGTGATAATTGTACCCCCATTCCTCCATCCCCTCCTGACCAAAGGTAGGGAACGCCGTGCAGATTTTCTTAAGTCATACGATTGTTGGCAGTACTTCTGTGTGCTTTTGTTGGCTCCCGAAGGTCGAAATCTGCATCACTGCCCAGTCCGGGACTAAATTGGACAAGAGACCAGGGGCTTGATAAGCATAGGCGTGTTCTTGCTCAAAACTGTGGAGTTCTGGGGGGTGACAGAGCCCCCAGCGGGACGTGCAGGGTCTTCCAACTGCAAATTGTGTGCGCGTGTAAAGCCCCCTCCCTCATAAGCATGCAGGCCTCCCGTTAAATCATCCCAGTAAGAGCACAGGTTCCTTCTAACATAGGCCCAAGATACAAAGTCCTCTTACAACGGTAGCCCGCATCTTCTCTCTGGTTCTTGGTAGGGAACTGGGGGAATGGATTATGGGGATTATCTAGGGACGACTATAGGGATCCATTCCCCCCTTCCCAACTAAGAACCAGGGAGTCTTTAGCAAATCGTCACTATAGGGCCTTAATAATTACCTATTGTGGAGGGGGGGGGGGTCGGTATTAAACTTTATAGTAAACTAGGCTCCAAAACCCTATCCTAATTATTAAGGCCCCACATCTTAAGCAGACGTCTTCATCTTCCCTACCCCCTAAACCGAGTGTGAGCGCCGAAACCCTTCATCTTGGGAGCTTGGAAGAAGTCGGTTACAGCTCCCAGGCCAGGCGAAGCCGAGGTGCGACTGCAGGTTCCGGTGCAAGCCTTACTCAAAGTCTATCAACAGCTGTAAGAATGAGAGCAATAACTGCACAATCAGAGAGAAGAATTAATATTCAGAGTAATAGACCTCATAATTGTTCTCGTAGTAGGAATAATAAGGCATACAAGATTAATTATGGCAATAACAAGAGCAATCGTACCCGAAGTTGCTAACTTTGGCACAGGGGATGATGAGGATGCACGTGTACAGTTTCGTCTTAGTTGCAATTGCAATCCTGCCGCTTGCTCTCCGGGTGTCGTGGCGTTCCTTCGGATGAAAAAGTGTTGTTACCGTGGAGCGGATCGCCGCATGCAGGCGTTGTATCATTGCCATCACTTGCTTGACCCGGTGTCCTACGATAACACGTCATAGCATAGCGGTTTGATTAACGCTTCCACTCTTGGAGTCGTTGTGATCTTGATCCTAATAATACAAGCCGGTTTGATCGTCGTGCTTCGGAGTTCGCGGATGTTTCCTCAATATACTCCGGGATCGTGAGACCTGCGGGGTTGCCTGGAGTCTGCCACATGGGAGCCACAAAGGAGTCTGCCACATGGGAGCCACAAATATCTCTTCAAATTAGTTGGCCGATAAGGTCCACATCACCACCCGGCAGCTGAAGAAACGGCTCTGGAAGGAACTCACACCGCACGTCCGCCCGCCAATGGCCCAGCTTCGGTTTGGTCGCTTTGGAGGCTTCGGTCTGAGGTTTTGGGTTTAGGACCAGGTGCCTCGGTCCAGATGATTGCAGGTCGTACACTGGCTGGACTTGAGACCAATAGCAAAAAGGATCGGTTGCAAAAACGGCTTCAGGTAGCCACGCGACAACTCATCAAAGGAAACCCTACACCCTAAACCCTTTATCTGAAATTTCTCAAAGTAGTCATTCATAATCGACATTGTAGTATGCTCTTCTTTATCCTGGACTACTTCGGAAGTCAACAGGTTTGTTGCTCCGTCATAGAGAATAAGAAATATCAAGCGACTATTTTTGCCGGGAATTGGAAGCTCACCGTGATCTACGAAGGTGAGATCACCGAAAGTCTCTGATCTTAAACCGGAAATCTTCGCTCTTGAAGGAGCTCTCACGTGTTCCTGACAGGCTGAACACTTTTTGACCAGTTGGTCATATAGCTCATATATCTCCTTTGGGATCTGTAAGGCTTTCGTGCGTCGCTTGAACTGATCCGTACTCATATGACGGTGCTTAAGGTGAAGCTTATAGAGTTCTACAGGGTCCTTAAGCTTCTCATGAATCCTGCGAAGAGCAATGGGAAGAGATGGCGATGGTTCTGCGACAATCTCTTCACCTGTAGGTGAGTCTGTACCAGGAGCCGGGTATTCTCTTGACTCAAGCGGCTTTACCTCCGTCGAAGGCTTTTGCCATGCTTTCCTTCCTTTCGGTGCTTGCCCTCGCGCGAGTTGGCATGTTACTGCACAGGATGAGCATGACCTTGACACGCCTTGCTCCCCTGCCCATGGAAGTTGCGACCCTCAAGGAGCAGATGGAATACCTGACACAAGTGCCGGGATCTTCTGCCTCCTGCACAGTGGACGGCTCACCAAAAGATGGGACGGGGACCATGGCTTCTATTGCTAACCAGCTTAACTGCGTGGATGCGAAGCTGCTGGAACTCGGCAGAACTGCTCAAGCACTTCAGCTGGAAGTCAAACAAGGAGCGCTCCAGTCACAACTTGATGAACTTCAAGCAATGGTACAAGCCTCCCAACAACACCTCCTGAGTCTGGACTCGCCACTGAAACACTCTGCTGGCAAGATTGAGGAGCTACACGAACAATTTAAGAGGGGACACATGGTGGATATCATGAAGATGCTGGCTTCGAAAGTTGAAGGCTCAGAACTCGAGGCAGTGAACCAGAACCTGCAGCAGGTTCTTTTGGACATTGTCAAGAAGCTCGCCTCGAAAGCTGAAACCTCTGAACTCTCAGAAGTCAGTCGACTCGAGAAGCAGGCCCTCACGGAGAAGATCGTCAAGGTCGAGACCACGGGGGACAAGATCCAGGACCTCTGTAAGACGCTGAGCAATGAGATCCATGTCTGCAAGACGGTGGTCGCACAAAAAATCGATGCTCTTCAGAAGGACATGACGTCGCATATGGGGTGGTCCACACAGAACCTGCGGCCACTTTTCCCATGCGTGCCGATGATCAAGCAGATGGAGTCCCAACTACGCGACGCCATCGACTATCTCTCCAGGAACTTTAAAGCCGTGGAACAGGTTCACACGATGGGTGAACAGACGACGGAAGGGATCAACCTGCTTCGCGAGAGCCTCTCCAACCAGTCGGAAATATACGACAACCAAGAGCAGAGGATTGGCAGGGTTGAGTCGATCGCCAGTGGAACACTTGATGTCCTGAATGAAACACAGGACCAAGTGACGGCCATTGCTCGCGATCATGCGGCATTGCTGCAACAGGTGTTGGAACGACTGCCAAAGCTGCCGATCCGTAAGCCGCCTACCCCAGAGACGACATCGCAAATGCCTGGACAATCGTCTTCCTCGACCTCTCCTGATGGACCGCCTACTTCAGCTGTACCGACGGTGCCCACGCAGCCGATGCCCCAAATGCATCCCACACAGCAGGCACCGGCACCGACAATCCACATGAACCAGCAGCCATCTGCTTTCGAACTACGGTTGAATGATCATATGCCGGTACAGCTGAATCCACGTAGGCCTGCACCGCAGATCTTCATGATGAGTGAGCCACAGTCGTCGACCCCAGTTTTGAGAGAGGTCACACAGCAGGATGTCCTTAGAGCCTTCTTCCCCCAATCCTGATATGGTTCTAGGGGCAACTGTTTCTTCCGCTACCTGCTTCATCACGGTACCTCATCTACCGACATCGGCCCTCGCTGACATCCCTGACATGGCTCTGTTTTGACACTCTAATTCATCTGCAGCTTGCACATGTGTATATTGTACACTACACAACGACATTAATTCCTACTTGCTGCCCGCTTCTAATTTGTAATCCTTGCATGCACATATAATTTATAATTCATACACGAGTGTCCTGCCTGAGCCTGAGCCGCAACAGACGTTCCGCGCCATCGCTGAAATGAAGGAGGCCATGCAGCAGCGTTCTAGGCTTTTTGAAGCAGAGTTCTGCGCTCGACATTTGTTGTCATGACTACCATCTAGTTGACGATAGGTGTCTCGGCCCATCAGCATTCCAGTCTAACTAGCACACGTCTCCGGTGCGGTGACCGGAGATCATGAAACGCCCACATCCGTGCGAACCGACCTCCGAAACTGATGCACCCCTTCAGCCACTAGCCACACACAGGAACAGTACAACACTAGACCACACAGCAGAGCCTGAGCACACAGTAAACCTAGGACTTGACCCCACTTCCATCCGACTTTTGTCCCGAGCCCTAGGAGTTGATCCCGTCTACACCCCTGCTGAAGCCTTGGCCTATTCCTTCCTCTGTAAGCATCAAGCTGGACAAAGCCTCACTAAATCCCATATGCGGGAACTCTGGGAAGTTATACCAAGGCGTGCACACACTAGGGATCCAGCCGAACCAGAGAGTCGCATAATTGTGGCAGGAGCGAACCCTCGAAATTCTCGGCGTGCAACTAATTTCACCGAAAATCTCCCCCACTGTACCCGTCTCCTTAATGCCTTCCTCAAACAAGAGGCCCCTACGTTCACCTACACCACAATCAGCATGCGCCTTAATTCTATGAGAACTCCCCACAGGGATCTACGTAATGATGGGCTAAGTCTGGTCCTGCTCCTCACGGAAGGCATTCAGGGAGGGCACCTTTGGGTTGCCTGTGATTCTGGTAGCATTCTTCAGGAATTTCAGGGGAATTCAGTTCGTGGGAGAATTCAAGATATTGAACGGCCCTACATCTTTTCGGCCAGGAGTACCCTTCATGCCACACAATCATGGTCGTCCGATCTTAATCCTGATAGGCTTGTACTTGTGGCTTTCACCCCAATGCGATCCCTTGAAATTGCACCCAGCCTTGCCACCCTCTTCCAATTCCCCAGACATCCCACAGTCACCCCACAAACACAGAACACGCAGGCATCCTTACATGACTACTTTGGTATCCAGCCACAACTAGTTGACTGAACCAAAGTGAACATCACTCCGAGTCCCAAACGTCCCTTAATTGGTAATTCTTAATTCAATAATTTGTAATTTGCCACTCAGCTGCATTATCTCTGCCGCTTGGACTGCACCTAGGGGATGTCGCTTGGCCTGCATTGTGCTTAGGGATTAATTCATGCACCTTTGGATGCTTGGCTTGCATTAATTGATGCCGCTCGGTCTGCACATAAGGGATGCTTGGCTTGCACTAGTCTGCACATAAGGGATGCTTGGCTTGCATTAGTCAATGCCGCTCGGTCTGCACATAAGCCCCGGTCATGCAAACCTAATTCGTCGTCTGAACAGACCCTCATTCGGCAAGCCACCCACACACCCACTTTTGCTTTACAGTAACGGCTGAACTGCATCACACTGGGGGCCCACATGCGCCGATGCACACAGCTCCACGCCACACCCTCCCGTGCTCACCAATCACTCCGATGCTCCACTTGCCCTGGTAACTAAGGGGGTCCCCAGGGACATGACGTGCATGGGGTCAGGGCTCCTGTTTTTCGGGGTTTCTTCTTCAGTTGTTTCGGTGAAACTCTTTGCCATGGACCTCCACAAGTGACCGGCCAGTGCACTGGACACCTCTGACCCCGTCGCTGCTGACTTTTCCCCACTTGTGGGACTCTGCTGAGCTGGGATTTCTACTGAAAAGCTTGCAAATGGAGGCTGTGCTCCGGGCTGATGTCACTCACTTGCAGACTGCAATTCCAGTGTTTAGCGGGTCTGCACTCGCTTCGGCTACGCCTGCTTCCCTCTGCACCTATGTTTTCGGTTGAGCTCAGAGACAACCATATATTGGACCATCTCACCACTGCATGGAGGCTGCACTCCTGGCCATACTCTTTCGCCAAGATTTTATTTTGGCATAGACTTTCTGGCTACGTCTTGGAGGCTGCACTCCGAGAGCACAGAAGCGACGAACAGCGCGACTATTCTGCTCGTGCACGGCCGCGAGCTCTGGCTCTCGAACAAAGTGGTAGGGGACATCCTGGCCTGCATATCACAAACTGCCAGTACATCTTGCTCCTTGATCCTAAACCTTTGGACCTTGGGGGACAAAAAGTGGCCTGCACAAAGCCGGCCACCCTGTGAGTTCTGGAGAGATGGAGTTGAGATGTACCGAGCGGGAGTTGAGCTGTACCGAGTGGGTAAGCTGCCGGTACCGATCTCAAGACTGACCAGTGAAAGCACACAGAGGACTAAGATGAGACACTTTTGCACTAAAGTTGAGCTTGTACAGGCAGAAGGGCCACCAGTGGCTCACAAAAGAGTTATCATGATGACTTACTCACTTTCCTTGAAGGATTGGAGTGATCAATTTGTCCTAGTCCGACAGTTTCTGCAAGGCACCTGTCCACCTAATGTCAGACCTCGCGAGCGGACTTTGCCATCCAGCCATGCGAGAGGGAAAAAAAACCCTTTATAGAACCCTTATAGATCCCTTTAAAGGAACCCTTAAGGGTACCCCTAATTTTCGGAAACTCCATCAAGCAAGGCAGACATGGCAGACTCATAGCACTTGTCCTGGCTCGGCCTCAGGGGGCGGCTGAAGCTTTTGCTCTTTGGCCGCGTCCTTGCAGACGAGGAGGTGCTGCCGGTCTCTGCTAAGCCTCCCGGCCTGCATCGGCAAGGTCTTGGGGTTGGCGCAGGATGGTTTGAAGTCTGCATTGTGCGCACTTGCAGTAATACATGCATCCCGCGAAGTGGTGTAAGCAGAAAATGGACATGTATGAATGCACAAAGGCGCGTGTCTAGATGTACATCCTGTGCTATGTGTAGTTAGATGGTTATATAGTTATACATGTGTTTGTTCGTGTTGACACGTTCGGCCTCCGGCCCTTATGCATTTCCGAGCTTTGCCGAGTCTTGCTGCCGGATGCTTATCTCGTCACCGAAGGCAGCCTCGCGCTTTGCAGTGCCACTGCCTTCCTCACGCTGCCCCTTGCCCGCACAGCCGATGAAAAAGGTGCAGGGCATGTTGGCGCACGGTGCGTACATGCAACCAAATGGCTCAGTGCTGTAATGTAATGCAAGCAACGTAAGGCAAGGTAATGTATGTGCAGAGGTATGTATGTGTGTACTTATTGTATGTATGTATGTACGTATGTATGTATGTATGTATGTGGGCATGTATGCATGTTGCCATGTATGCATGCATGCATGTGGAGATTTATTGCTACCGACACCGACACAATGGTTTTAGCTGAACCGGACTCGCAAGTACAAAATTGAAACAATGGTGCATGGCAGACATCATGTTGCAACAGTTCTGTAAATAAAAATACCAACACCACGGCCGCCGCCGCCACCACCACCACCACTCCGCGTTTCGCTGTCTTCCTTACAGAAGGTGCGAAATTACGCAGCTGGTGACAGCCACAAGCAGGAGAACTGTGGCTGCTGATGCGTCAGGGTTAGAGAATCCAGCGTGTTGTATCTGTTGCATGCTTTGGGATCTTCGTCTCAATTGCGCGGGTTTCTGAGAAAGAGGGGAGCAAGCAATGTTGTCAACGCATTCGATGCCTCGCGGAGGACATTATGTTCAAGGTAGTGCTTGCCGGGCCTTCGTGACATGGCAGCACTGGGCAGGGTGGGGCCGATTTTGGTCGTCGTCGTGAATCTTCTTGCCACATGTGATAAGTATATCTGAGTTTGTAGCACAGTGCCATACATCAGTCTGAGTGTGGGCCGCCACTCGAAACGTCGCGGGAGCCAGCTTGTTTTGGGCAGCAGAACCTCGAGTTACAGCAATGACAACTAGCATTGCTGTTGCCAGTTGCAGTAGTCGCAGTGGTCCTCGCCTTCATTCATTTGTAATCGTGCCAGGGGCGCTGGCAAGACGAGCATCCTGCGAAGTTTCCAGGGCCTCGAATTCACGGAGAAGACCTCCCCAACTTTGGGGGTGGATGCTGAGACGACGCCAGGATTTGAGCAGTTCTGCTGGATTTTTGTGCAGCTAAACTTAAACAGCTAAACCATAAACTCTGGCACTAGTTGCAAGAACTTGACAACGATTCCTGCGACTAAGGCTTTTCTGTTTGGAGTCTTGAGTGATCTGTGAACGGAGCTGTACGGCACTCCTTAGAAAGATGTACTGGTCGTGAGGTGCCTCCCTATAATATCGATGTGTCGTTAGCTTCTGCTCGATGCCTTGACCACCCCCACCAGAGTCGAGCATATGTCTCATACGGAGAGTCCAAGAGTGTGCGCCTGAACCCCTGAAGCCTCGAGACAGTCTTCTGGAAGAATTGCCTGTCTTGTGCTAGCGTGAGCCTCGAGGCCCCCAAGCCACAACTTCTAACCCCGTGCAAACAAAAAACACCTGTCTAAACACATGGGAAAAGTGACTGCAGCCGCAGCTGCGGCTTGCGATGCGGGGCCAACCAGGCCCTATCCTGCAACCCGTAAACCATGCCGGCTCCAAGAAGCCCTCAGTCGTGTTTGGGGAGTCGCATCCCGTGTTTGAGGAAGCGGCTGCTGGTGGATGTCACTTGGACTGATACCACCTCACATCCAAAGGCTGATTCGAAGAGCCATTGGGGTTTAGGATACAGGCTTTACCTGGCAGTAGTAAGTAGTACGAAGGTACTCAGCGGTACGGTAGCAGCAGTGGCAGTAGCAGCACGAGTAGTACTAGTCGTCGTCGTACTAAGTTGTCCAGCGGTTGTACTTGCCGCGCCCGCACATTCTGCACGTTGTCTTGGGCTTCTGACTGACCTGGTTCACGTTTTCAATGCTATGCCGTGATGTGGCTCTTTATGTACTGGCCTTGCCGGCGCGAAACTTAGTGCTTCAAACCCTCATGGACAATGTGAGCAAGTTCGAGCTCCAGACTTTGCGCAATGGTGCATGACAGTATCTACAAGCAGTAACGGTTTTACCAAGCCCAGAGAATCAAAATGGGAGAGACGCACAGTGAGTGTGTGTGTGTGTGTGAGAGTCTGCGTGTGTTTTACGTATATGCATAAGGACTACGGAGCGGGATGCGGTATTCAGATCGGGACTATGAACATGGATGCAGCCCCCAACCTCTAAAACCTGCGGCTTGCGATGCGAACCATTACATATTATATTAGATCATATTGTACTGTATCATACTATTCCAAATCGTATACTCTGCTATGCTCAATGGTTATTATGATCTTGTATCATATTGCATTGTATCATACTGTACTATATGATTTGGTTGAAAATGCTATACTGGAAGATACTACGCTAAAGCCACGTTTCTTTCACCATCCAAGGAGTGCCTGCGAGTGACCTTGCGGCTTTGGGACTCCCAGGGCCGGCGGCGACTGGGCCGCTTGGCAGAGGTTTAGGGTTTATGGTTTGGGGTTTAGGGTTTGGGGTTGGGGGCTTAGGGTTTAGCGTTTAGGTTAGAGTTGGCGGAGCCTTACTTCTATGGTCACCAGACTACTAGTAGTTGGTATTTCAGGTTTCTGTGTTGGTAAGAATATTGTTGGTGTTTAGGAGTGTGGAAGAATATATAAGTTGTGTTTGGCGACATCTTGGGGCTCTTGACCATATGTTTGCATTGTTCATGTATATACATATATGTATATTATACACATTTTTTTCAACATACGATCTTGTATTTAACTATATTGCATTGTATGACGCCATACTGTGCTAAACTACTATGCTATACAAACTATACGGTACCATGCTTTACTACATTTTTTGTTGTTCACGATGTTTGTGGTATGATCAACTTGGTATATTGTGCATTGTACCATTGTATGATAGAAATTTTATGTTATATGTTACATATCTTACAATATGCACGATATATATATATATATATATACATACTCGATTTCTGGCATGTACGGTTTGTTGGGTTTTATTCAGTCACATATTGTGTTTACTGCAAGTGATACACTGTAGTGCAACATGACATATTGCCATGCAGTAGTAATGATAAAGCTATAGCGATGCTACGTGCTATTGTCTTCATTGCCATTATGATTTTTGAATATGTTTTACAATGTTATTGTTATGTGTGTATAAGCACACACATACCTGTATATATATATATATATGTTTTGTCTTGTGTATTCGTATTGTATACAGCAACAATTAGGTGCAAACCGTTGGTGATATTCACATATGTTTATATACATGCAATTGTGTTATGGGAGGTGTGTGTGTATATATATATATGTGTGTATGTTATCTACTGTATGGTTAGGGGATACAGGATATACTTGTGGGGTACATGTGCGTAGTCTGCTTGTGTGTACATGCACACTTGTATGTCTACATGTTGTGCATCAGAAGAGATAGATGCAGTCTACACCCTACGCACTAAGACCCTAGACCTGGCTTCGCTTCAGGAGACGATGCCGAGCACGACCTGGAAGCTGCCCTCTACAGCGGTGCCGCTGCCGTGCTTCTCTGCATGGATGCGCGAGAGCAGCCGTGCGAGGACACGGGCATGTTCACGGTATCGGGTTTATGTTGGTTTTGTGTTTTCCGGCGGTTCGACGAGGCCTGGATGCAAACAAAATTGCGTTTGGAGTCGTGCAAAGCTCAGTCGAAAGATCTCCGGTGACTAGCAGCACATAGGGCCGAACACAAATAGCATCAAGACCAGCTACGTAGCTTGCTAGCAAGATAGCTAGCCAAAAACAGGAAATTGTAACGAGGCCATCTAGAAAACAGCAAGAGCATGAAGCAGCAATGACACTGATTATCTGTTCTATGGTAGAAATATCATTGCAGCCAGGAAAGAGAGTATCAGAAACAGCAGAAGAAGCAACAGAAGAACCTGAAATGAGTACTGCCAACAGGCAGAAGAATCTGACAAGAAACCATGCAGTACCGCTCGCGAGCAGGGTGTCTTGCGCTGAAATGCCTGCTTGGAGGAGCTTTCACGCTTCCTTGACCTGATGGACAGACACTGCCGACCTGACGTGGTAAAGGGTGTCGACACTTGCCAGCCAAGACGTCAAGTCAGGTAGCTTGCGCTCCCAGGGTTGGCATGCTCAATTTGAGTTTCCACCCCATGCCACGACCAACGATCAAAGTTATACCAAGGTCGCAAACAAGGCTGCTCAGCTCGAGGCTAGTTGCGGTCAAGCTGGATGTCTGCGAAAAATTCAAAGAGCTAAGGTAGACCTGTGGAAGGAGCCCAAAGTGGCTGCAGAAGCGGCGAAGCCCTTTGCAAAGCGACACGCCATGCGCTACTTCGAACCTTGGCACTCTTCCCACGCAGATGCAGAATTTCCGGCTGCTGCGAAGCCTTAAGCCCCGTCCACTCCTCACCCTCCTTTTGCACGCTGTTCCTGCCAAGGAGGTATCTGCCCGGCTCAGATCTCAGTTGTATGCGTGAATGTTGGGCTCGTTGTGATGGGTGAATCCTTCAGCCACTTCAGCCTGTCACAGTTTCTTTATCGCAATGGTCAGGGCGCAGCTGCAAGAGTACTTATACTGGAGGGGTGGAGCACAAAGTTTGTATCTATGTATCAAAGCCTGCCGAAGCCAGTAAATATGTGGCTACAGAGGACATCAGCGTCAGCTGAGGACCAGCGAGGGAGTCGATGCGATGTTCCACGATTTGGTAGGGCAACTCATCGATGCGCATCATCCCACCTGAGCGAGACCGGTGCAAAAAGAAGCCAGGGTTCTCTCGTGGGGATGTTGGAGGTGGGGCGCTTTGCTGGAGCACCCCCGAGCTTTGTAAGGCCCGATATTATTATTATTATGATGATGATGATGATGATTATTATTATTGTAGTATCCTTAAGGGAGGGGGGTCCAAGGGGGGTATAGAGCCTAGTGAACCCTAATTCTCCCTAGTACTCCCTAAGGTTCCCTAACAGTCCCTAAGGATTCCTTGTACCCTCCCCCCTTGAACCACCCTCCCTTAAGGATCCTATATTATTATCATTACTATTATTATTATTATTATTATTATTCATATTATGATCATTATTCTTATGATGATGATGATGATGATTATTATTATTATTGTTACTATTACTGTTATTTTTTTTGGTTTGGGGATAGGGTTCAGGTTTAAGATTTGAGAGAGTAGTTGTAGTAGGAGATCGCGCGTCCGTCCGCAGATCCGAGCTCAAAGCTGGGCTGAACTCGGCCCGGCTGTCCTTTATCCTGGAACCCCTGCACGTGGAAGGCTTCCAACTTCCAGCCTCTCGGAGAGTTCATCAGAAGCTGCAAAGTGGTGGAGGTGGATAGCTCACCTCCTAAGGAAAATGAGTGCTTCGGGCCTCTGGACCGTGGCTGCTGCCTCAGCTTCATAGCGGGCTCACTCCCAAGACCGAAGCTTCTGAACTGGCTTGGGGTCTTCTGTCTTCAGTGCTTTTGCGTGAAGGGATGGCCCATCCGTGTGCCAGCGCAATGCTTCCAGGAGTGCGGTTTTGGGGACTTGGTCTTGATGTTGGCTCGATGAGCCCGTTCAACACTTCTCAGGTGGGCGGCGCTGACCGGGGTGGCATCATTGCAGGGAACCTAGCGGCAGTGCTCCAATACGTGAAGGCTTGCTGAGGCTGAGTTTGCTCGAGAGCGCAGCAGCTAAAACCAGCTCCTTGCCCTTGAAGCTCCATTTGAGTGCTTCGGGAACCTTCGCCCCCTGTATCATCCCCAACTCCAAGCCCCGACACTGGAGCCTTTCCGAGCTTGGAGGCTCTAAACTCTAAGCCCTACACCCCCCGCACTACACTACTACCCACAGCCAAGCAATCATAGAACCCCCACGGATACACATTTTTTTGGATACTACTATCGAAGGACATGTGATTTATCGCAACGGCCCCGGGAAGCACCAGAAACTACCGGAAGAAACTTCAAAGGTCCGGGCGGAACGAGGCTTGGACTCTTCCGTGGCGGGCCAACGCTTAGCCACGGGAGCGAAGGTGAAGGCCGAAGCGTCATACAGAAAAGCACCGAGAAGTTGGATAGTTATATGATTAGAATAGAGAACTAAGAGATCAACATATGGAAGGTGTAGTATGTAAGTTGTGCAAGATAGAAAAGGCTGGCAAGTGGAACCGTAGGATATGTAATACGCAACATAACTTACATAACCAAAATTATGCACACAACTTTCTCATGGTGGCTCGTGTCTGTGTGGATGTGGGGGTGGTTTGGTTTAGTGCGCTTGGGCAGTTGCAATGGAGTTTCGGAGCGTCAGCCCTAAGCCCTGAGTGTGAGCGCCGAACCCAAAACCCCAAAACAAAACCTAACAACCGAAGACCCTGAGCCCCAAAAGCCCCTCCAGCGCTGCATCGCGCCGGGAGTCGAGACCGGGGCCGGGTTATCACCTCAATGCTGAATGTTGCACGAGCTAAATGTAGTGATCAGGAGCGACTCGATGTGTCTTGTGGGCGGAAGCATCCAAAAACAACCCCCTCCCTCCCCTCCCCTCCCCCTCCTTCCAATCAGAAGAGCTCAGCCCGGGCCAGGGCCTGGAGTGTTTCGAGGGCCGCATGCGCTACGAGCTTCTCGAGGGCCAGGGCCCGTCAGAGGGATGGGTGACCGTCTCTCTGAAGGACAAGGACTCCGACGCCTAATGCCTTTACATATGTACATATATATATATAATATACATACATACATATGTACACGCACACACACACACACACACACACACACACACACACACACACACACACACACACACACACACACACACACACACACACACACACACACACACCACACACACACACACCACACACACACACACACACACACACACACACACACACACACACACCACACACACACACACACACACACACACACACCACACACACCACACACACACACACACACCACACACACCACACACACACACACACACACACACACACCACACACACACACACACACACACACACACACACACACCACACACACACACACACACACACACACACACACACACACACACACACACACACACACACACACACACACACACACACACACACACACCACACACACACACCACACACACACACACACACACACACACACACACACACACACACACACACACACACACACACACACACACACACACACACACACACACACACACACACACACACACACACACACACACACATATATATACATATATCTATATATATATATCTCTCTCTCTCTCTCTCTCTCTCTCTCTCTCTCTCTCTCTCTCTCTCTCTCTCTCTCTCTCCATATATATATATATATACACATCATTCGATAGATAGATAAATAGGGTGAAAACAAGTGTTCAAGAGAGGGCTCAAAGGGTTTGCAGGGCTTAGGGTCTTGGCAGGGACTCCAAGTCCACCTTTCATGGCCTGCTGGATTCGACACAGGAGAAGTATCTGCATATGGGAGTTTCCGAAAATAGGAGACCCTAATATAGTACCGTAACTAGTAGGATCCTTATTATAAGGACCCCCAAAGTAAGGTACCCCTGTTTTTCGGAAACTCCCATATACTAACGCATGTTGTCTTCGAATTAGTACAAGTTTTAGTGTTATGTGAAGTTCTACCTAGGAGAAAGAGTTACTCAGCGTTGGCTTTGGGGGACGAGCTTAAATGACCAGGTCTTCAAGCCGCCCTGATCCCATTGCTGCAACATGCTGCAGCCTTGCCAGCAGGACTTGCTGGTCAGAGTCCAGGAAGTGACAGGGGAGAAGGACTCACGGGAACACAGCCTCGAAGCACTGCAGCCTTGGGGCCTTGGGTTCCTTGTTGCTACCTTGAGGAGGCAGACAGCGAGGATTCCACAAGTGACGGTGACAGTCAAAATGCACCATATGCTGGAGTCTGAGGAGTCTAACACACGCGCCTACCGTTGTCGAGAGCGCCTGACTCCAAGCCAAGGTGACAAGTGGCGACAGCGACAGGGAGAGCCCAAAGGCCATGATCTTAAATCTTGCATATGCGGAAGCAAACATGAGTAACATGAGGGTCAAGATAGACTTTACATCTTTCAAGTGGGCCACCAGCACCTGGCAGAATGGCCTGTCGAGTGACAAGATCAGCAAGGACGAGAAGGCCAACCTGACCAATACAATGGTGTCAGCTGAGAGTCTTAGGTCTTACGCTTCGTGTTGGAGCTCGTCCCCACGGCAGATCATTCTGCAAACCTGCCCTCCTGTGCAGGAAGCATTGCGCCTTTACAATGCCAAATTTGGGGAGTCGCGCGATGGGTCGCGCCAAAGCTACAACCGCAAGGACCGACACGGCCGTCAGGTCTTCGTGCGTCTTCGGTAGAAGTTCTCGCTCTTCCAAGAAATGTCAGGCCTTTCCCTGGTACCAGCCGCAGCAGGTTGCCAAGGAGACGTCCGACGAAGTAATTCAGGCGCCTGATGCCTTAGGATGTCTCCGTCGCTGTAGGTAACCATTTGACTCCTTTGACCCAACCGTTTCGGGCAACCTGTGATTAGCGTTATTGGCATGTGGACTTTTGGCGGGACAGAATATTCAGCAATTAGCTTGCTGTTCCTGCTGCTGTTACCTCCTGCTGCGACTGGGACTGCCGCTGGAATGGTGTCGCGAGCGAGGTCGTTCGAACTCGAAGGTTTGAAAGTTTGAGAGTTTGGAGGTTGAAGTTTGAAAGTTTCAAACTTTGAAGGTTTGAAGGTTCGAAAAGTGCTGGAGTTCGAAAGTTTGTGCACCTTGGTGTGCACAAGCTAGCCGCGGTCAAACTTCGAACTTTTCGAACTCGAAACTTTCAAACTTTCAAGCTTTCAAACTCTCGAACTTTCAAGCTCGACTGGCTGCTTGAAACTCAAACTTCAAACTTTTCCCGCGGGCGAGTTCGATCGGCCTTCGAAGTTTGAGAGTTCGAGACTTTGAAAGTTTGCAAATTCGAAGGTTCGACGGTTTCAAACTTTGAAAGTTCGAACGTTCGAAAGTTTGAAAGCTCGAAAGTTTCAACATTCGAAAGTTTGAAAGTTCGAAAGTTCGGAGTTTGAAAGGTTGGCTTCAGATTTCCTCTTCGGCTTGGGCTGAGGTGACGAGTTTGAAAGTTCGAAGGTTTCAAACTTCGAAAGGTTTCATGTTCGAAGGTTTGAAAGTTTCAGAGATCGAAAGTTTGAAAGGGATGAAAGTTCGCGAGTTTGTCCTTAACCCTTTGCGCCGAACCAGAACCACAGGGTTTAGATCAACAAGGCTTATATGAAAGGAACCCAAAATCTCATTTTTGTATGTGGTTGGCTTTATTTGTGTTTAAAAGTGTTTTTTTGTATTTAAAAGTATTGTTTTGTATTTAAAAGTTTTTTAAATAGGTTTTTTTGTGTTTTACAGTTGTTAAAATTCTTTTATTTTATTTTTGGTGTAAAAAATACATGTTTGTGAATTTTGTTTCTGAGTGAGTCAATTGGCTTCCTGTTGTTCTACCTGGTTTCCTGCTGCTGTATGTCTACAAAATTGTTGTTTATTTGTTGTTGAAGTTAATAATTTTTAAAATTTAATCTTTTTAAATAGTTTTGGGTTGTGATTGAACAAAGAAGGGAGGCCGAGTGACATGTTGACTTGCCTTGAGATCTTGCCCTTACCCACACGGATCGACTGCCCTTCTCGGTTCGTGGGCACCGTTGGCCGGGTGTCAGGTTATGAGGCGATTGTATCTAGACCGCCTTGGGGCCAACGTGCCAGGGCAGTGGCATATGACACCCGGACAAATGGGCTAAAGTGCCGGGTGGGGCGGTTGAGGGGTTGTTCGCAGCCGTGCTTACAGCCTTGAAGGGGAGGCCATCCATGCTTGTCGTCACGTTTTGTTAGGGAGCCTTGCGACTTGGATCGACAGAGGCAGAGTGCCACCTTACCCACACGGATCGACTGCCCATCTCGGTTCGTGGACACCGTTGGCCGGGTGTCAGGTGTTGTCGATGGTACCTGGACCGCCTTGGGGCCAACGTGCCAGGGCAGTGGCATATGACACCCGGGCACATGGGCTAAAGTGCCGGGTGGGGTGGTCCAGTGGTTGTGGCTTTTTTATTTTTCTCCCAACCAGGAGGGGAGGCCATCCATGCTTGTCACGTTAGTTAGGGAGCCTTGCGACTTGGATCGACAGAGGCAGAGTGCCAGTCGAGCCTCTCGAGGTTGCCTTACTTAAGTCCCTGCCCCATCGGGGTTGCTCCCCACACCGTTGGCCAGGTCTAAGTGTTCGGTTTGAATCCAAGCCTAGTGAACGCCTTCTCTTCCATTTCCTTCTCTCCCATCGGTCTTCATCGGCTTCCAGCCCATCGAGAAGTGGATGCCAACTGCTGGGATCTCAGCATCAGCTTGCTTCAGCTACTTCCATTATTATGGTACAGTCCTGGCACCGAGGCTCATGACGAGGATCCTGAGGACATGCTGCCATCGCAGAGGACAAGCTGCCTTGCATAGTCAGTGAGCGTGTCATGTATCGCAACTTGCCGCTGCAGCAGTTGTGCTCGCTGTTGCCCTGCGTAATCTACTATAGTCGTGTTACAGCTGCTCTGTCTCAAGTCTAAGTCGTAGTAGGCCCCCCTGCAAGCCGGCAGATGTCGTCGACGTCGTGGAGTGACAGTGAGTCTGTGGGCTCGGACTGGGTTCTGGTTGACGATGAGGGTGCAAGCACTGCGGGCTCGGTCGCGGACAGTTTTGACGACGATGATTCTGTGATTCCGTTCGACACGATGCTAGAGGAGTGCTTTACGACATTCTGGATGTTTCTGAATTCTCAAGAGCGTGGGCAAGTCTTGCAAGTAGCCTGGTCTGTCAATGAGCAGATCATGTTCACACTCTTTCCGAGACTTCGGCGGGATTTTCGGCAAGGCAGAGTGCCAGGAATTTTATATTACAATGTGTCAGACGAATTTCTGGCGTTACTGCTTCAATGATTTGTCGTGTTTGTACAGCCTCCGAGACCGTATTACGGATGTTGGGGAAGGCAGAGTGCCGGGTTTGCGTGTGTTTAGAGGATTTTGAATTCGACGATCTCGCCAGCAGAGCTAGACTGTCCGATTTGAGACCTCAGCGGTAGTGTGCGCAACTTGGATTCAAAACGGTTACCCAGCATGACATGCTGACTACACAGTGCCGGGTGGCAGTGATGTCCTCAGGACCCTGCTGTCTCCGAGGCTGGCTGCCTGCCTGCCTGCCTGCATAGTCTGTCAGTGAGTTGCCTTGCACCATACATGATCGACATCTGTCTGCCGGCCAGGGAATCAAGTGATTCATTCATACTGATGTAACAGTAGTAACACAATGTTACATATCATTGATTAATGTACTGTATAGTGATGCATTAGTCACTGTTAATGTTTTAATCTTTGGACAATTGAAGTGTGCTCGATGAAAGCAGTGATCCCGACGACCTGCTCTGTCTCTAGTCTAAGTCGTAGTAGGCCTCCGTGCAAGCCGGCAGATGTCGTCGACGTCGTGGAGTGACAGTGAGTCTCTGGGCTCGGTCTCGGACTTATTGGCTGTTGGCGAGTTTGCAAGCACTGCGGCGTTTGGGGGTTCGTTTGTGGGCTCGGTCGCGGACAGTTTTGACGACGATGATTATGTGATTTATTTCGACGAGCTGCTAGAGGAGTCCTTTTCGACATTGTGGATGTTTCTGAATTCTGAAGAGCGTGGGCAAGTCTTGCAAGTAGACTGGCATATCAATGACATGATCCTGTGCGTACTCGTTCCGAGATTTGTGCGGCAAGGCAGAGTGCCAGGAATTTTACATTACAATGTGTCAGACGAATTTGTGTCGTCACTGAATCAGTGATTCATCGTGTTTGTACAGCCTCCGAGACCGTATTACGGATGTTGGGGAAGGCAGAGTGCCGGGTTTGCGTGTGCTTAGAGGATTTTGAATTCGACGATCTCGCCAGCAGAGCTAGACTGTCCGATTTGAGACCTCAGCGGTAGTGTGCGCAACTTGGATTCAAAAGGTTACCCAGCATGACATGCTGACTACACAGTGCCGGGTGGCAGTGACGTCCTCAGGACCCTGCTGTCTCCGAGGCTGGCTGCCTGCCTGCCTGCCTGCATAGTCTGTCAGTGAGTTGCCTTGCACCATACATGATCGACATCTGCCGGCCAGATAATCAAGTGATTCATTCATACTGATGTAACAGTAGTAACACAATGTTACATATCATTGGTTAATGTACTGTATAGTGATGCATTAGTCACTGTTAATGTTTTAATCGTTGGACAATTGGGTGCTCGATGAAAGCAGTGATGCCGACGACCGTTTCAAGGTGCTCAGGGAGTTCCGAGGCAGAGTGCCAGACTTCTGCTGCTGACCATCAGAATCAGGCCAATCACATTGACCTTGGCAGTGATTACTGGAACGAAGCCGTGCAACAACTTCGGTGGAATTGTTTACACTGTGGCAGATCAGCTGCCGACTATACCACCGGGCTCCGAAAGATCCAAAGGGCTGCACAATTGGATCAACGAATCAAATTGGCAGTTGAGGCCATCTCAGATTTCGGAGATATGGATATGAAGTTGTACAAAGCATGGACCGGCCAGACAGATGTGCTGCCTGGGTCGATCCCGCCACCTCGGCCATGCCAGCATGATGTCGAGACGTGGCCCATGGATGATGTTTTGATTTACGACCATCCCCAGTGGCAACTGTTTGTTGGCAGTATTGGTTGCCCGATCCGATATGACCAGCTCCGGGTCAAGCCTGACATTGTCATCTCTATGAATGCAGATGACAGACCTCGGAATTTTGAGCCATGGGACTGGTATCAGTATTTGGCGAATTGTGGACCGTTTGGCACTGCACATCTTCGGTATGGTGGCTGGGATCAAACACATGCCAATGACTTTGATGCTGAACAAAGAAGTCATGAGTTCAAGACCATTTGGCGCCGCCTCATTTCAGATTTCAGAAAGATTATGATGTGCTGGCAGCGCTCAGCAGAGGAGTTCAGCCAGAGTCAAAGGCAGAGTGCCATCAAGGGCAAAATGATGGGCAAGGCCAATGGCGGCAGGGGCAAGGGCAAGACAATCAGCAAGGGCTACAGCGGCCCCTGTCAGGTTTCCAATCACATGCAAAGCCAGAAGGCATCGACGAAGGGCTCATTTGGCTATGGCTGCTCCTATGACAAGGGCTTCAGCAAGGGAAGTGACATGGGCAGCCTGTTCGGAAGAGCCGCTGATGGAAGGCAGAGTGCCGATGGAAGGCAGAGTGCCTTGAAGGTGGCCGATGAGACATTCCCTGGTGAGCTCGGTAATGCTCTTGCTTTGTTGGAGGCGATGAAGCTTCAGGGAGGTGGTCGGAAGCGTGG